AACCTAGGGAGATTAAGGGGAATTAACAAACTGTGACAGGGAAGACAGAATACTATCAGATTGCCCTGACTTCCTTACATAGAACGTCAAACGAAATATCTTTCTGGGAACTAACAAGATATGGAAAGACCAGGAAAGATAATCAGAGGAAATACACAGTCCAAGGCATATTTAAAATTAAATTTGGTTTCAACTTCATTGCCACCTATGATAGTGGAACCATGCGAACTAACCAGTTCACGTAAGTCGTACTTGCAAGTGAAAGTGAAATTAACAGCCTGACATTTGGAGAGATCAAGCTTAAGGCGATTTGACAAGAACTACTGAGTCGACTTATTTCTGATAAAAAAAAAAGCTATTCATTTTGAAACAGTCTCAGTGAAAAGTAACCGCTGGCAATGGAAACAGTCAGGTTATCAGCATGCTCAACAGAATTGGCTTCGTTCTATTTTACAATCATAGCAAACTAGAATATACTTAACAGTACACAACGACAAATATTCAATAAGTCACCCGTTGAATCTTGCTAGGCAATCAAAATATTTTTTGAATTCTTGACACACTTAGTCGCTTTGTGATTGCTATAAAAGCGACTGCCATTAATTCCTTCAAGGGGAAGACAACTAGCCTTCAAAGACTGTATTGCCTTAAAATAATTTATGTATGAATGTAGAGCACAACATCAGCTCAGTAAGTATGTAGTCTTCGGTGTTAATATTTCAGCAAATTGAAAGGAAGTAAGTGGTGACCAACTGTCAGAAACGGACAGTATTGTGGACACTCACCAATATTCAGCACATACAGAGACACTGATTAAAGTTAAGCAATTTATGAAGACATGAAACACTACAGACGACAGTCTGTAATATTGAAGTTAGTTGGTTTGAAGTAATCCATTTCATGTTGATTGCCACTTGTCAGTAAGGTGTATCCGCAACCTTGGAAGAACTCTGAGAAATCAACCCGTGCCAATCAGTGCTGCAGTAACCGATATTACCAATGAGCTATCTGGGCTCACAAACGACTCCTTCATGTAGGAGGATACAATGAATGGTCACTAATGTCATACGTCTACTCCTTGGTATCAATGCAGACTAAATTCTCTCACTAATATGTTTATGCTTACACTCCGATCATGATCGGGAAAAACTTCAATGAGGAACAAGAACGCAGCTGAGAACTTGAAGACCTCGATCAATGTAGAAAGATACTTCGAGTTCTAATGATTAGTCGTGACCAGTAGGGTTCACCAAATCAGATAGGAGAACAATTACTCGTCTATAACACTGGTTGGCAATTTCGCTATACATCATGAACTGGTAGACGTTTGTTTTCAGTGGCAGGCGCGTACTTCTGAAGAATCCCAAACCAGGAACGAAACAGCTGTCTAGTACTCTCCGCGCTTTCCAACCATGGTCAGCTCGTAGTCAAACCTGTAACCAATCAAATCCCTGCAAGTCAACACGTGTTAAACCAACACAGCGATCAATAAATAAGAAAGGCTATCATAGAAAGAATATCAGTGATTCTCTGTAGACTATAAATACTAATCGTATTAATAATCGTCCAAGAAGGTCAAAAGTAGAGCAAAAAGCACAACTTTTTGCCTTCTAAAAACAACACAAATCTAAAAAGTCAGAAAAATATTAATAATAATAATAAAGCAAAACAGTAGTGATACATGTGAATATAACTGTTCTTTTTTGCTTTTTAAACTGTAGCAAGGAAGTAGTTTGTATGTTCAGTGTTCTGCTGTAATTATTATTATTGTTTGTTTTATTCCTCCATCCATCCCTCCCTCTTCTTCTTCTTCTGCTGTTGTTGTTGAAATGTTTGACAGTCAATGAATTCATAAATCAAAATGACAATTTTGACAGGATCTGACTCGACAAGTATAACTATATACAACTTGATGATAAGATTCCCTCCTGTTTACCTTATACACCCTTCCTCTACCTATCCTCCTCATCATCATCCTCCTTTCCCCTGTTCATCACACCTTCACATGTGTAAACAGAGACGTATCCAGTAAAGAAATCATTTCTTTGTGTGTTTGTTTCTGTTAATATATATATATATATATATATATATATATATATATATATAAATGGATAGATATATTACCCATCAATGTTTATTCATCAAATATCCTCAAGTCTGTCGAAACTTACTTAATTCTCTAACTTGTTCTCCTTGTTTCAACACTCTACACGATACAGTGTAGATGTTTGCATGTTTGAAATAATAATTTATCATGAGATTGAAAATAAATTATGTGCATATATATATACATGTAAACAGGTAGAAAAGAGAAGATTTCAAGGAAATAGTATTATTATTATTATTTTTATAAGCAATAAAGATGTACCAGGGGTAAATGGAAAGCAGTAGAAGAAGAAGAAGGCTAGTTGTGAGTGGACAACAGCAATAATAATATGGATTACAAGTTTTGTCCATGAGTTGACGTAAGTACTGGACAGCTGTTTTGTCCCGGTGCTTGAGACTCTTCATCAGCAGACGTCCACTGTTTGGTGTGGGGTGTGTGTATCTGTCGGGAGGTGGGGTTGGGCCCTGGACCTTCCCTGTTATAAGGTAAGCTCGTAGACCATTCAGCCACTGGTCAACCCATGAATTTCAACTTCTGACAATGTGCGATGTGCACAGGGCAACTGAAGCAATACGGACTGACTACAAAAAAAGGCTTAGTAGGCAATTTACAATTATCGCATTGTCGATGGTATGCATTACTATGAAGTCGATGTCGAGAGATCTACGGCGTTTAGTTCAAGAACCAGTGACTTAATGCTCGTGTCAAAAACAGACTGATATAGACTATCTTCAACAATTAACTCCACTTGATACTGAAGATTAGATGGCCAGCAAGAAGGGATGAATAACATGGCTCACTGGCAGGCAGTGAACCAGCATATAACATACTGCCCAAAAAAATAGTCAGAAGAAAATGGAGGCGGATTACACATTCTCTGAGGAGACACTGGAGTGAAATCACACTAAAGATCCTCAAGTGGAACTTGACTGGGAAGTAAAGAGTTGGGCTTGGTTCCCAAGGTAACACAAAGAACATCATGTGAAGAAGAAGAAGGAGAAGGGGAAACGAACTCTTAGTAGCAGTCAGTGGAATAACGAATTGCCACTGAAGCTCTGCTTTTCATTCAGAATACAACGAATGATTGAGCAACTTCCTCAACCAGTTATGAATATGTTTCACACAATGAAGCTTCAGATTTGTTACCGACTTACAAATTCACTAATAGTATAATTATTTTTTATTCCATGAGTTCTCAGTGGAGTTTAAGGCTTCAGGTTTGAGACCTTGAAGTTGCAGTAACTATGGTCTTGTTTTTACCCAATAAGGGTACTGACCTCACACTCAGTCTTCTCTCTTTCCTCATGCTTAAAATTGCTGCTAGCACAGACAAGCTTCTTTGTTAGACGTAAAGTCGTGGTTCATGCATCTACTGACATGATACACTGATCGGACAGTTTTGATTGGCTTATTTATGGCTCAAATTTCTGAGGGTTTGGTAAATATAATATATTATGTATCCCTTCTTATAAATGTTACCGTTCCAGTTTTCATTTCTCCCAGTCTGACTTTTGTGTCTATCTCAGTGTGGAAGATAATTTCAAGTGATCGGTTGGTTATTGTGTCGTCTTCCGGAGGCTCATTCCAGTTGAGTTAAATGAACCTACAACCCAGTATCGCTCTCTCATAACAATTTGCCAGTGAAATAGGCGAGATTTAAAGAGTGTGTCAGATGGAAATCGAACTCCGACCGGCGTGTAATTACGTATTAATAAATACAAGTAAAAAAGGTTCATAACTGGTCTCTTACAATCTGAGTGTTTCTGTATCCGCTGGCATAAATATCTGCAAACTGAAGTCAATTGATAAAATTACCAAATTCAAAGGGAATAATAATTTTATGTACGACACCGTTTTCCACGAACAGAGTATCAGCACCACAGTTGTTATTGCTACAAATTCAAACAGTCTACTTCTGGTTGTACTTAATGGCTTCAGTTAATATTCAACCAGTTTTCCTAAAATCTACCTATAAGGTTTGAAGGGAATTCATTCAAAAAAACATATGTGGCTTGGATTGATTATAGCCTCCAAACTTCCATTTCTTTTTTATATGGCCGTCTGCATGTCACCCTCAGATCCCGAAATCGTCGCTTCCAATTTGAGTTCCACTAGAGGGTCTGGAGCGTGACGTTGGTTGAATGTCTCCGCAGGGAATGTTTGATCCACCTTCTTCAGTGTATCTGTCGGGAAATCGTTACTTGCCTAGTTCGCTGCCTGTCAGAATTCTTTCTGGAGGGATACCTGATTTTCAGTATAGAGACAGCCAAGACAGGCATTGATGAAAGTCTGCAATAGCCTCTTGAAAATGTCTGCTGCCGACACGTTCACAATCTTTAAACCAGACAGATGCACTGACTTGACATGAGATTTTGAAAATCATATCTCCTTCCCTGTGTCGTGAGTCACCACAGTGATTTCAGATTAATGCACTCCTACCTTGCTTACATAACCCAATCCTGGCTAACGTTTACATCCGACCCTCTCTAAGGAAGTTTGGCGAGATGAATTTATTCAGATTTCCCACACTGATGGTCATTTTTAATTGTCGTTGTGGTTGTTTATCATATTATATTTACTACCTCTGTCTTCTTTATGTTTACCTGAAGTTATGTCTTCACTGACCATTCTACCAACTTGTTGATATTCACTTGTAAATCCTTGAGTTCTCTACGACACATCTAGTTAATACATTCCACAGTCTTATAGTTGGTAGAGAGTACACCAGTTTTCATATTCCACTAATGGTCTATCATATTGTCTAGGCCACAGTTATCGGAAGAAAGTTACACAAGTTGAAATTATTTAAGCATAATTTGTAACTACTTGAAGATATTACAAGCAGTTTAAAAAGTTAAGCAGAAATTTCACGTTTATTTCTTCTAATTTTTAGGTTAGATACAATTGCAAAGCTATTACATTCTCATCCACTAACTTTATCGGGAAATTCACGTACATTACAAAATCCAATTATTGAAATCTATAATGAAGGTGATAAGCCACCTTCATTCACAATGGATAACAATATTATCCCCCCATGGAATAATATACCTGAAATAAATTATCAAAATGAAAGACAAGTTTTAGCCTACATGAATCGTGAAATGTATAACAATCCATCAGTGTATGGATGGAGAAGACAAAGTTACGATGTAAGTTCCCTTACTGATATCCTATCCATGGAATATTTATAAATTAAATGTTTGAGTTGATTTTGTTAGGTGTCGAACAATTTCATTTATTCAAATTAAAAATTTGGATTAATTTCACAATGTAGACATTAGACAAAGCCATAAGAAGACAAATAATTTAACTGAATCGTGTGTAATGTATTTGCGCAACATATTTCGAACAATCTGATCATACACACGAACTTGTTATAGGAATATATATGAAATTAATAAAGAGTTAGGAGGTGCGAAAATAGACTAACTAGGTCTAGTTAAAAGACCACCATATTGAAGGTCAAAATAACAATGAAGATAGCTGAACCAAAGAAGGGAGGTAATAGAACATCGGCCATGGCATCAAAACAAAGTTTACCAAGGAAGGCTTAGTGTGATGATGATGGATTTTCGCTTTGAGCGGATAGAGATAGGTGGTTTAAACTTCCTTATCGCCAGCTGGGCTTCCTTAAACTTTAGGATACACCCTTCCCAAACACATCCTATGAATAAGTCTAAAAGATATGTAAACATCAATTTTATATTCTGTTGCGCAATTGAGGAGCTGGATCATCCATTCTCACCATTAAGGTGTTCTGTGGATTCTACTTGCTTCTTAAGCCAGCCTTTACTTGCAGAGTTCGATGAGTTCTCCCTATGTGTATGTGTGGCTACATGTACATTCAAATTGGTAAATACATTGGAACGTGACATCATAGAATCCCCAAAACCAGTCAGTTAGACAACCATTGAAAATCGCCAGTGGGACAGCCGTCTTCTTCTGGTCCGGGACTCTCCAAAAGTGAATACCCATAACCTCATTCGGATTCGAACCTAAAACTTTAACTAGGCTGACCCTCTGACCATTTATTTAGAATCCAATCAGTAGTTAATTCTATCTCCTATCCATTCGTATTCTACTGGTACCATCAGTCACTGTGATATATGTGAGTATCCATCTCACCCTGACATGCTGGGGCCCATCGTCTTCTACTTTACCTCATCCATTCACTAACCGCTAATGAGCCGGATATAGATATTCAAATCATAAGGTCACTTCTTTCACTTATCTAGACAGCCAGCATCATTCCAACTACAGACAGAGGAACAGATGAAGATGTCAAAACTGGTCACAATCCGAGACATCTGACTGTCCAGTAAGAATAAAGAATGCCTACAGGTCATACAGCTGTACATAAGGAATGAAGCCTTCCCTTCAATATCACATACTTGACTGTGTTATGAAATAACTAAAATACAAAGTCTAGTGTTTGACTGTAAGTTCGGCTTCTTCTTCTTCCCCACAATCGATTATGTGTACATAATGGAGAAGATTTGTAGCTCAGGTGGATGTGATATTGAATTAGTTCTGTTGTCTAAGCTGCCAGCTGATTTAATTGCTAAGCTTTCGTCATCTCCCTTCTAGATGACATCTTCAGCACAAGAATTATTAGAACACTAACTCATTTATATTCTTCTCTATAAATGATGTAACTATGTCTCCCGGTGACCACAATAGTGAATGATTGTTAATTTATATCTCTATTGATCATTTTTAGTGACTCGGGATTCAAACTCTCTTGTCGTCCTGTGATTTATTTTATCAGCTGGTAAATTTGGTCTATAATAATATGTTTTTTTTAATTGCTGGCTGATTCACTTGAGTGCCAGACTTCTAGAAATTCCCTGGTGGCATTTTTGGTGTTTCTTCTATTTAAAATTTCTACATTATCCCAATCATGAAATTGGTGTCTGTAATCATCTACATGCACTGATATGAAAGAATATATGTTATCATGCTTTTTTACAGTCAGTTTATGTTCGTGGATTCGGGCACCTAGGGGATGCCTACTTTGTTGACCGATTTAATGTTTATTGCAGTTCATCGAATTTATTTTGTAAATGCTGTTCATCTTGTCTTCTTTTCCTGTTTAATCTTTCGATTTGCACAATATCGAATGAAGTGATTGGGCTGGCTGGCTTGTGTGCTATATCTTTTTCAAGCAGTCTCAATATTCTAGCTTTTATTTCAGAAATATCTTTATATATAAGGTAGAATGAATTTTCTTATTGTCTTTGATTTTGGCTTGTTGTTGATGTTATGACTCGAGTTTGAACACTTTTTGATGAAACTGTAAGGATATCCATTCGTTTCGAAGACCGTTAGTAGGTATGTAACAACAGAAGACAAGGGTCAGGCAACAGATCCTTTATTAAGGAAATTAACACGTATTTATATATTTTCATGAATATTATTATAGCTTATTCAAGCAAACAAACACACTCATCTGATTGGCTGTTTCTCACAGAAATTTGACCTTGCATCTCTTTGTGACTGTTTCTTGAGTGTCGGATCATCTAAATGTTAACTCTATCTGCCTACGCAAAGTTTGTTGTGATTGGCTGTTGAATCAGTCTTTGTTCATATTTTCTCACGACCAATATTTGGGTCACACACATTGACGTAAATAATTGTCTACCAATTGGCTAGCAGCCTGCTTTCACCACAGGTATATTTCTTCCATTCTCTTCAACACTGGAGTAGTGCTACAGTATGCTTGAACTCTTTCAAACAATGTGTGTACACAGTTTCTTTTGTGGCTAATTAGGTGTAGCTGTTACTATTATAGTTGAGTATTTGGTCTGTGTGAGTCAACTTTCTTTGTACTTGTGTTTCTAAATTTCCTCTGTTAGTTATCTTGATTAAGACATTTAAGAATAAAATTTTGGTGTCTAATTCTTCTTCTCTTGTGAATTCAATGTCTTCAGATATGTTAATTTTTTATGAATTTGTGGGTATTTTCCAAACCACTTCCTTTAACTGTCACAAATGTATCATCAACCTAACGTAAATTAACAACCAGTCACGATAGCGGTTGTCAGAAGATACAGTTAAATCATTCATGGAGAATTCAAACGAGTTCATATTATACTAAAACCTGCGCTGAAGGAGGATGTTGTCTAGAATGGGGAACGATGAAAGCTTCGCAATAACATCAACTAACAGCAGCTCAGGGAACACAACTGATTCAATATTTGTACAGAGAAAAATTAAAATGCCTCAGTTAAGGCGTAAAACCCCGTTCTTTTAATCGTCTTCATAAGACACACCGCTAATATGAAGGCAATTACTCGTCTAATGTGACTGTTACACGACTTCATCATGAGCTGACATTAGTTAGAGAACCATTGGAAAACCAGTTGGGAGTACTTGACAGCTATTTCATCCTGGTTTTGGACTCTTCATCAGTACGTACCCACAGGGATTCGAACCCAGGACCTTCTGGTTACAAGGCTAGCGAGCTTGTATGCCATTAAGCCACTGGGACCCGATCCAGTGACCCAAGAATTCTAACCTTCGGCTAGGGGTCGCGCTATGTCATGAATTGGCAGAAGATAGATTTCATGGGCTGGCCATTGGATCCAGTCCCAGTGGCTTAATGGTCTACGAGCTCACTGGCCTTGTAACCAGAAGGTCCTGGGTTCGAACCTTGATGGTGGGTTGGTACTGTGAAGAGTCCCAAACTAGGACGAAACAGGTGTCCAGTACTCCCAGCTGGTTTTCCAATGGTTCTTTAACTAATGTCAGCTCATGATGAAATCGTGTAACTAATCAAATCCCTACAAACCAACACTTGAATAATGTGACTGTGTTATCTTTGAGAACTAACTGACATAAATCTCAGATCATCAGAATACTAAATGTTTAGTCGCTTGTCAACATATTTCTTCTATACCAACAATCGATCTCTCTTTCTTCTTCTATTTTACAGCCTATTGCACAGAGTACAGCCTGGATAGAACATCATGTTCGACAACGTATACAGCGTTATAAACAGTGGCTGTCACCAAAACAATGGAAACAATTTTTAACACACGATTCTCCTACTTCTACACTTATGAATAACAGAGAGAATGGAATTAATTCTCCAGCAAAATTTAACTTAGCTTTATTCGAGGCTGCTGTCGTCGGTGTACGACGTGCTGTTGCTGAGTGTCGTTATCAATTTAGACATGAAAGATGGAATTGTAGCCAGGTACCTGATGATGAGACGGCTTTGTTTGGAAATATTTTACTCAAAGGTAAGAAGCAAAATATTTTTCTCAGTAATTATCGTCAAAACTAACTACCTTTCAACAACTGGTTATGTCGGTTCAGTGACCACTGATCTCACTACCAGGCCGTTGGAAATTCATTGACACCCTTCCCAATAGAATCGGTGCATGGAGGTGAGAGAATGGATATCGTGTCTTCTGACAGTCTGTTTATGTTTTTGGGTGAGAAGACAAAGAGAACGTTCACTTTTCACATTTGCTGCAGTTTGTCTCATATAGATTGTTGGTTTTGTTGTCCTCTGGGTGACGTATAATAGATATATATGATTTTGTTGCTGTGTAGGAGATATTTATTTGAAAAGACTTCAACAATCTTCCAGTGATTCTAAAGATATTCTTCATATATAGTCAGACAACTTTATTCCTGCTTACACATCCAACCTCCTTTCTTTTTGGGATTACTACTGGATAATAACCTACCTGAGATTTTGGAGTACATCGGCAGGGAATCGAACACCTAACCACGTACGCGGTTTTAACGAACGACACACGATACTTTATGTTCACCGGTCCTAAATTGTTTTGTAAACGAAAGACTAACATGCGGAGGTATTGAGCGGGCTTAAAAGAAGGCATAAATGAGGATAAGATTGGAACCGATAGCTTCCTCACAGTCAGTGTGACACTACACCACGCGAGCAGCCATACCCGTTAAGTCAGTCAAAAGCTATTTACAATTTCTCCAAGAACTGATTACAGTTAAAGAACCATTGAAAACTATGAAGTGCTGGAGATCTGTTTCGTCTTTGACTTGAACTTTTCAGCAAAATGCACCTACGACTCCAAAAGGAATCGAACCCAGGACCTCCATGTCACAAGGCTACGTTCAGGCAAATCGCGGCCCCAATGGCTGAATAGTTAGCGAACTCACCTTGTAACGTGAAGGTGCTGTATTTCATCCCTGTTGGGGTCATGGGTGTGAACTGCTAAATAGTTCCTGACAAGAACAGAACAGCTCTCCAACTTAAGTCAGTTCATAAGAAATTTCAGAACCAGTCGATTCCATCTAAATCAACTTTTGAATATTTAAATATTCCCCAGATATCTTAATTCCAGAATATACCTTTGTGGCCATTGAAACACAGATTAGCGCTATTCTAGCCGGCTGTAATTCATTTACTTCGGCATCTGAAGTATGCAATTATGCTTGTAATCCGAACAGTTTTTATAGGTCTAACTTGGATAAACATTTTCGCATAACTTCCCATTTTATTTTTTCTTGTACTTTTTTGAAAGGCATACCGCAAACTGCATTTGTCTATTCAATTATCAATGCTGGAATAGTCCAGTCAGTAGCTGAAGCTTGTTTAAATCAAATTGATAATTGTCCATGCAATAATCGTGGTCGACAAGAACCATATTCCGACTGGCAATGGCAAGGATGTGATCATAATATACATTATGGACGACGGTTTTCACGACGTCTATTGGATACAATGGAACGTGGTTCACATATAAGATTTGAAATGAATTTACATAATAATGGTGTCGGTAGACAGGTCAGTTTCAATTGTTTTAATTTTTAAAATTATATTATACTACTTATATATGCATTTAAGTATATTATATATATTCTATGCCAAGATATTCTTTGTTGTGTACACCTATTTTCATGTGCTTTCGTGTGTAGCAAGAATAAAAGGTATTCTCATCTTAAGCGTGTAAAGTGGTTGAATATCTGTGGGTATCTTTTATTTCCCTTCCTTTGCATTCCTCGTGGAACACATGGCTTCAGCTTTGAAGTTTCAGTAGAAGCGATGTTTTTTTGTGGGTTTGGAGTTGCCAACCTCTGGCCCAGCCTTTCCATTTTATCAGGCTTACTATCGGCAAAGCGAGGTTTAAGAGTGCGTCAGCCAAGAATTCACCTTGTTCCATATGTGTAGTTTGCGAGCAATCTACCAGCGAACCACAGGCGCGTATGCCTGGGGTATTGAGGTGATATAAATGCCTGTTGTTTTAAACTCTCTTTTGCAATAATCCGCTTAGCTTCACGTATTTTCTACAAAACACTCTTCTCAAGCTTTTTTTACAACCGAAGATAAAAAAAGTGAAGGGAATGAAAAACCAAAAAAACTAAAACTAAGGACTCAAACCGAAGTAGATACTTGATAAATGCAGAGGTTGGACTAGTTTTATTTTGAAGACATAAATAACTCCAGCTTTTCGATGTATACGTCACAGAATGTTGATTGACTCATCATTCAGAGTCATTTGCAAAGTAAACAAAAATATATCAAAGGCAGTATGTTTCTGACTTCTTTATGCTGCAGGAGCCCTCATCACATGCATCGAAATGCCGGAGTTTTGTTCAGAAGGAACTGGTCCAACCTGTACATTCGCCATGGATCTAGTTCGGTCTTACTACTTAGTTTCCGTTCGTTTGTTTTCTCACTCCCTTCGTTGTTTTTCAATCTTCTGTTACAAAAAACTAGTAATTCATTTTGTTTCTATACTCATCCTGTTCACACCTGTGTGAGTGTGTGTCTAAAACTATTTACATATTACGCAATTACTTTCTAATCCTGTGTAATCCATATTCACGCCTATAATCCTTCATATGATGTTGGGAATTATTTCAATCTCTTTAACCTCCCTCCATCAATGCTATGCAGAATTAAAGACTAATTGTAGTTATGTAAACCTATGTATAAATGCGATGGTTCAGCTTCTTTTGAGAATAAAATCGCCGGAAAGATACTTTTGCTACGCTTCTTGTTCTTTTCTTCCTGATGTCCTGATGGGCATCTCCAGAGATTATTAATACAGTCTCAGAATGTGCTAGGGAAATGTTACCTATAACGTTTGCGTCAAACATTTTAAGCCTATTAGTTTATGTTAGAAATACGATTTAATGTTGTCAGACTATAATTATTCATATTTTGTTTCTGGGATCCGTCTAAACCTTTATCTCATTTTTACCTCATGTGTAAAACATTTTCTTCTAATCGTATGTTTATCGAGTGTGGAATAGAGTTATCTATGTGCACTCAACTGTATTAACAGAGTGAGTTTCCCCTTTGGTTTGAATGTTAGTTAAGCTTTTTTTGAGCCTATTCTGAACTTCATTCTTGTGTATATTGAAAATGCCTCTAAATGGAGCTACCCAGTTCAGCTTCTGTCTCAGTTTGTCTGAAGAAAAAAGCCCAATGGGGGCATCATTTCCTCTGAATTCAAATGTCAACACATGTACGTAGACTGTTGTGAAATAATGATTAGTTTATGGCCTGCTACAATAGGTCAAATAAGTTGATTCTTAGGGAGGAATGTGAATACAGAACCTACGAATGCACTGGCAGCCTCACTTTCGATATTTGTGTCCTTTTATTCTCGAAACATGCGTCGATGGGACAGCGGTAGAGTGCTTGCAGTCCACGCAAGTGGTCCGGGATTCGATACCCGGCCACAGACGCACTCCTTTCCCTCCTGGTAAAGAGGGAAGGTTGGGCATGAGGCTAGCAACCCCATCTTGTAAACATAATCACCACTGATACAGAAACTTCAAGCCTCTAGCTTGAAGCCTTATGTTTCAAGGAGAACGTGAAGGTATAAAAACAGGAACAAGACAACCTCTTAACTTGTCATAACTGTTGCTTATGAAAACTTACTGGTATGAAGTTTTAGTATCTTTCAAAACGCACACCTCTGACTGTCAAGCTTTGGCCAACACTTACAGAAATGTAACTATGCTGAGGTTACAATATTAGCCTTGCGCATTTTCTGTGGTTAGATTCCTGGCCGATGCACTCCATTTAGCCTGGTGAAGCTAGCAACCCCGAACCGTCGAACGAAACAACACTACCGTCAATGAAACTTCAGGGTTTGCATCCCTATTTTCCACTCAGAACACAAGGAATGGGAAAAATAAACCATCCCCACATACTTTCATCTCTTTCAGTAAAATTCACGTAAATCAATTAATCGTGCATCATCAAACAATCTTCATTGATATTTCTTTCTCACTTCAGTTAGTACTTAAAAATATGGAACGTTATTGTCGTTGTCATGGAACGAGTGGATCGTGTACATTACGAACATGTTATAGACGAACGCCAAGAATGCGAACACTTGGCAACTTATTGAAGCATATTTATGAAAATGATTTAGTTCAAGTTAAACTAAGTAAGAGATAATTTTTTTCTTCGCTTTTGTTCTTTTCAGGTGAAACATTTCCATTTTTTTAATTCCTGCACGTTCCTAGTGGAATATAGGGCTTCAGGCTAGAGGCTTGAAGTCTCTGTAACAGTGTTTATTTTTTAAAGGATGGGGTTGCCAGCCTCATGTGCCCTACCTTTCCTCATTACCAGCTGTATTACTGGCTTAGCTAGGTAGATACAATTAGAAGTGGCTAGCTAGTCTAAGTACTTCATCTTTCAATCGGAGGATCACCATCAGTTCTTTGAACTGATATTTTCAACTTGTTAGTAATTATTTCAATCGGTTAGTCATCCTTGAATTGCAGACGTATGTATTAAGTTTATGGATAGAGAATAGTCCTTTCCAACTTTCTTAGTAATATGTTTCTTGACAAATTTGTCTCGATAGCTATTTTTAGTCAGGGTATCACATAAAATCCTTAGTTCATCTTCACTTACCTCTTCTGAGCAAATACCTCTAACCCTGTGGCTGAGGGGCCTTCCTTGCTAGATTTCTTTTGTACTGGAGAGGAACGAAGCTATAAAAATGTGCATTATGTCCTGCCCATGTGCTTTTCCTATGCAAATCTCTCTTTATACTACCATCTGCTTTTCAAAAACTTGAGGAGAAGAAAGATCTCAATTATAGAATAAAGAACGAATTAACCAGACATTGTATATGCCACCCTAACTGAAAATAGCTATCGAGACAAATTTGTCAAGAAGCATATGACTAACAACGTTGGAAAGGACTATTCTCTATCCGTAAACTTCATACACACGACCACAATTCAAGGGGGACTTACAAAGTGAAACAATTAGTAACAAGTTGAAAAATCAATCCAAAGGACTGATAGTGATCTTCCAATTGAAAGATGAAGTACTTAGACTAGCTAGCCACTTCTAATTGTATCTACCGATTCAACAGCGCTTGTGATGGAGCCAGTTATATTCACCGTTGCTATAAGAACGCGATTTTTCGTGCTCTCTCGGGAACTCCTACCAGGGTGAGATTAGATCAACTGGTTCAAACCGGCCACATAGCTGGCCAGCACTGAAGAATCCTTCTCCATCATTAGCTATCGGGTACCGAATAAACTGCCAAAATAATCCAGGTACCGCATACTCGAAACAGCAGAGGCTATCGCAATTCGCATGAAAGAACCAGTGCTCTGTGTGCAGAAGAAGCAAGTCCAGCCAGCCACTACTACTGCTCTGACCGGCCTTCAGTGGAGACTATAAATTCATGAATTCGTATTATTATCTTTCCTAATTTCTTTGATATTCATTGTAGCGTTATGCTGATGCTATCAAACTGTAATCCATTGATATTTTATCATTATTGTTATTGACTCGACGTTATTTTGTAACAAAAGAAGACAACGCCAGGCAACAGATCCTTTATTAAGGAAATCAACAGATATTTATAGATTTTCATGTACATTATTAAAGATTATTGTTAGTAGAAAAATAAAGTTTTCTGATTGGTTGTTTCTCACAGAAAGTTAACCTTGCATCTCTTTGTGACTGTTTCTTCAATGTCAGATCATCTATATGTTAACCGTATCCGCCTACGCAAATTTTTCCTCAGTTTTCTCACGGCCAATATTGGGGACCTAAACATCGACGTAAATTACTGTCCACCAATTTTGACTAACAGCCAGCTCTCACCACAATTTAAACAACGTTAATGTTGTTAATGACACTAATTCATTCACTATTATGGAAGGATATATTACTGTAGAGCCTGATGATGAAGTTATCGAAAGGAATGTTCTTTATTCAGTAGCCATTCTTCTGGAAACATTTTAATGACCATTTTTAATCAGTTAAGATATTACAATTTTTCCCTTCTAATTGATTTACATTCCAAGTGAAACACAGGGCTTCAAATGTTCAAGTTTCAACAGCCGTGGTATCATTTTTTAATCTGCAATGGAGTTGTCAGCCCTACACCCAACTTTCCCACTTTTCCCTGCCTGCTTACCGGCTAATAAATTTGATGAAGCCTAGGGGTGTGTTGGACGGGAATCAAACCCAATCTCCCACATGGCTGGCAATGATTCCACCATTTTACCACCGACGCCATTATTATGATTACCGCTTGGACCCTGAAACCGAAACAGGTGGTTGTCACCTATCACTTGAGCCTTCAAGGCAGTAGTAGATCAGAGGCGTCAGGAGCTATGTTGTTTTGGTTGCCAGTGTTGCAAACACTTGAATAGGCCATTCAATCCTTTCAGATTCTAGAGTCCATATATACCACAATAGGACTGGAATCAGGCTTTGCCAGCTGTGTTAGCTAGAGGTAGACTCGCATGTCCATTACTTGGACTGTAAATGCCAGACGTCAGTATTGGCACTTCTACTTGTGTGATAAGCATCCTCCCTCCCGTTGTATGAGAGCAGTGGAGAGGACTCACCTAGCCAGCAGAGGCTGTGAACGTATAGCCACATGAGAGCATTTCGAAAAGAAGACTGAAGTCTACCGAGGACCCTCAGTCATAACTGGTCGAAGTGGGGGCGATTGATGGAGATACCTTGTCAAAATCATGTTTCATGCACTACATGTTCATATTACTATAATTTATTATTATTGTTGCTAATGTTTTTCCTTCTTTAGACTCTAACAGGCTACGCAGGATTCGTAATTCCGATCTAGATGAGCATGAGAAATTTCTGTCAGTATCAAACAAAATTCGACCATCGTATTCAGCAGACAAAGCTATTAAATTTACACCATATAAAAATAATTTCAATCAAAAATTGTCAACAATAAACACCAACTATTATACTCAACAAAATAATATAAGAAAAGTTTCTAAAAAGTCAAACTTAGTCATTGTACCTCAACTGTCAGCGTCAATGAAACCCTACGGAAAGGTGGATAATTTCACCAACCAATCACCACATTCATCACAGTTGGTTTATTATGAATCCGTTAACCAAAAGTTATTTTGTGATTCACATCCATCCTACCACATACTCGGCACTAAAGGTCGTTTGTGTAATTCCTCATCAACAGGTTTAAACAATTGTCGTCACTTGTGCTGTGGTCGTGGTTTCATTACACATCATTATTATACAATGGAATCATGCAATTGTAAGTTTATCTGGTGTTGTCGAGTGGAATGTCAACAGTGTTTAGTGTTGAAAAAGGTGGAAACGTGTATTTAACTGAGCTTAACAGGTCAGCCTTATTTCATAATCACAGCGATTTCTCTCTCCCTCACTCAAAAAAATATCTTTTACACACTCCAAACTACTAAACAAAATATAAGTAGTGGTATATTGTATGGCAGAAAATATACTTTTATACTTCTTCAAGAGTTTACACACAAATTCTACCTCGAACATTCAGCCTTGTTCAATACTCAATTACCATTTGTTTAAAACAAAACACACTAAGCATAAATGATAAATAATTGTAGATTCTTTTGATAATTTTCCTTATTTGTTTGCGTTTATTATGTACACACACATGTCTAGCCTTACTCACCTGTTTATTTGTTTTCAAATTTATTATAGCAGTAATATTAGTAATATCATATAATAATGTATTTGTAAAGTTGCTAGCCACTGACTGCACAGAACCGACAATATTAACACTCTGGATTAATTTAATATGAACTATGAATTTTTGTACCAAGCACCATAATTTATCTCATTATAATTGTTAAAAGCATTTTAATAATGCAATAATAAATATATGCACATATCTACATTTGTGCCTTCTGTGCTGTTTTTCATGTTGGTAAATGGTAACAAGCAATCGATTTGAGGATGTGTGTATGTCGACAGTAGAATGTACCTGCCAGCATTCCACTCAATGAATGAATGAGTGATGGTGTTCCCGCTGAGACTTGGAGGAAATCTACATCCTCGACTTGTTGTGGTCCTCTATTTGACCAAACTTGCGTACACGTATACCCTAGTACTTCTTCTTCTTCTTCTCGTTTATTATTGTGTCCTAACGTTGTGCATCCTCGACGTCCACAACGTAAATCAAAAGGCACTTCAGACGGTGTACAAAAGTGTATTGTCAAAAATTCAAAAGTACAAAAGTATCAATTGTTAACACGCAATATTTAGAGTGATAAACAAATCAAAGTCCAATTACATAATGAAAGTATACTACAAAGATGAGTAATAAGATGGGTCACTACAGAGACTGCTCTACTAGTTCCCATCAAGTAAAATAACACCATGTCAATATTCTGACATTGTTGAAGCGTCCATGATAGACGCCAACACGTGACTGACTAACTGACTAGTTTCAACGTTGAAATTTGTACATTTGTGTGGTAGTTTGAGTTGTCACACTCCCTCCATGTATCACACAAAGCAGGAGAAGAAGAGAGTAAAGAGACATAATAAACAGAAATACGAGGTAAAAAGAATAGTAATATGGAAGAACAACAGAATTCTATTTGACATTATGAATTGCAAAGAGTGAACGCATCTGCGCCACTAAGATCTATTTTGAGCCATATCACTAATTTTCTCCAGTCATTGGTTTTTACTGTCCCGAGGAACTCAACCAGGAAGTTTACAACTTCCTACGTGACTAGCTTAAATTGACTGTAGTGGATTTCATTGACTGATGATGCCATATTTTGGTTTGACCACCACTGGCTCTTTACCAAACTGCCTCTATGTCAGCTAAGATTGTCGGTGGAGGAAGGCGACCACCACCGCCACCTCGATTGATGTAACTTCACAGCTTCGTCTATTAATTCCCCCCCACCCCTCTACGTAACACTCAACCGAGGCCTAACCTCAATATTGCTTACCTTATTATACCACTTCACAAAAACGAGAGACAGAACGCAGACAGCTATGATCAAACGCTAACACCTTGTCAAAAGACACTCATCATTTTGCACATTCTTCTATTCTTCAAGCGCAATACGCGTATTTGTCATACTAAACTTCCATCTACAGACGTTGTTGCGAATGAACATATATATATATGCAAAAATTGAACGATATAAACGACATACATAAAGTCCAAAACCAAAGGGAAAAACAAAACCTCAAAACGGTTAATTCACATGAAGTAAACCAAAGAGTTCAGCTTTGATCCACACAACTAAAAGCAGACGTTACATCACAAAGCAGAAGATACTATTCTCCAATTTCAGCGGGCATCCCTTTCTCCGTTTCAACAACCACTCATGCAGACAAAGATTCCGATCGCACGGTAAAATCTCTCCACCTCACGTGGATATATTCTTACAGATTTCTGGAATATTGTAGTGGATATTATACCACTCCTCAACCATAACTTATATCGGCTGCTACCCTAGCTTCCAATTACGCAGATACATCACCGCCAGTTATCAAGTTTGCATCCACTCTTTCGCAGGGCTCACCCTCCTTATTACAAATCAAAAACAACGTCACACAAAATGAAACTATGGAGAAGTTCATTATATTGTGGTTTATATATCAGGAACAATTTTCAGGATAATTGGTTTATATGCAGTCTTTATTTAACGGTTTGATGCATTTGTCAATTTATTGTATATTTATATGCAATAAATATCCATACCGTTTCCATAGTAGTACTCAGTCCGTATATCCACTCGATATATATTATTTCTCCATATACTAAATGTTTTCGATTAGGCTCAGCTTCACTTTAAAAAGGTAATCATCAGTGTGTGACCATCGAAACAAAGTAACAAGAGTTACCACAAGTTGTAGATGAACTAAACAGACACAGCTATGAATCCTCACTTCGCTTCCAATAAGCGTGTTCGAAAGCACTTATTAGTGCGGATAGAGGTTCTGTTTCTGGGAGAAGGCAAACCAGCGTCAAATGTTGAGGAGAAAAATACCACAGCACCATCAAATAGTCTTAACATTAGAAAATGGTAATCTAGTTAGGATGACGGCTGTCTGTCTATTTCGCCTTTCTATCTATATACTCGCGTGAATCCGATAGCTTCGAATGTGGTCATCAACCCGGATTATTTGTCGCTTTTGAATGAAAACAGGTAGGTGTATTATTCTGAATTAGGTCACCCTAGCTGTAAGTCCCCACATCCCGTGGCTAGCAGGAATCTTGTAATTAGGAATGAACATTAAGTTATCTTTCTAACCCAACTCATGATACTAATCCGGAGAGTCTGCTGAAGTCTGAGCGTATGTTAGACTTTATAACGAATTAAGTGACCAAACGAATCATGTCTTCGTACAAAGTTCTAGCAGACAATCTGTCTGATCGGACGCCTCTGGACAAAATCAAAGTGACACGTCTCCAAGCGTGCAGTATGCCATCAGCAAATTGCCACCTAGTCAGACTCAGGAATAAAATCAGGAAAGTATACTTGTTCTGTGCTGTTTAAATTCAGTAGTCCCAATGATTCTAGGAAATTCCAGTCACCTACCAAGTTGATTAATTTTTTTTTTAGTTTTTGATTTACAGCTTGATTCCACACCGTATTTTTGGTACAAGTATGGAATATTCAGCATGGATATCGGTAGCCGAAATTCCGAAGGCCGACCATAGATATCAGATGTGCGTCACCAGGGGATCGAACCTCGGACCATGTGCATGGTCGGTGAAAGTCCTAATCACTGTGCCACCGACGCACAGATAACTTAATGTTCATTCCTAATTACAAGATTCCTGCTAGCCACGGGATGTGGGGACTTACAGCTTGGGTGACCTAATTCAGAATAATACACCAAAGAGGTGGAACAGAGAAAGCACTGGGTTGAACACTTCAAAAGACTTCTAAATCGTCCGCCACCTACAACACGTCCAGCAATACCAACAACGGAAGCAGAACTACCAGTGAACACTGACCCCCCGACGAAATCAGAAGTCCTGAATGCAATCAAGATGCTTAAAGCTGGGAAAACACCGGGACCAGATGGAATCCCAGCAGAAGCTTTGAAAATAGACCCAGAGACAACAGCGGACTTGATGACACCACTGCTGGAGAAGGTGTGGAAAGAGGGCAAAGTACCCGAGGATTGGAAGAACAGTTACTTATTCAAACTTCCAAAGAAAGGAGACTTAAGTCAATGTAAAAACTGGCGTGGAATTATGCTTCTGTCCATTCCAAGCAAGATACTAAGTCGCATCATCCTGGAGAGAATCAAACAAGCCCTAGATGAAAAACTTCGTCCGGAACAGGCTGGATTCAGGAGAAACAAATCATGTATTGATCAAATCGCCACTCTACGGATCATCATTGAACAAAGCTTGGAATGGCAGTCACCTCTCTATCTCAACTTCATCGACTTTGAAAAGGCCTTCGACAGCGTCGATCGAGAGGTCATTTGGAAACTACTTCGCTACTACGGGGTCCCATCGACAATTATACACCTCATCCAACAGTTATACGACAATGCTGCATGCCAAGTAATCCACAACGGGAAACTTACGGAAGCCTTCGAAGTGAGGACGGGAGTGAGGCAAGGCTGTCTACTATCACCAATGATCTTCCTGATTGCAATTGATTGGATAATGCGACAGACAACGGCAACCAACGAGGGAACAGGCATAAAATGGACTGACACAAAAGACTTGGAGGATCTGGATTTCGCCGATGATATATGTCTGATTTCCCATAAACTGGAAGATATGCAAGTGAAAAGTAACAAGTTGGCAGAAGAAGCATCAAAGATAGGACTTCACGTGAACATAGATAAAACAGAGATGATGAAGATTCCTAGCCAACATCAACAACAACAACAACAGACCACAATAAGCATAAATGGGAAGAACCTGAAAGAAACAACCTCCTTCACCTACCTGGGAAGCATCGTCTCAACTACAGGCGGAACTGACGAGGACATCAAAGCCAGAATCGGAAAAGCAAGACAAGCTTTCATTACTCTCAAATCTGTGTGGAGGTCAACAGCAATCAGCATCAAAAATAAGATCCGGATTTTCAACTCCAATGTGAAGTCAGTGCTACTATACGGATCAGAGACTTGGCGAGTCATAAAGAGCATCTCAAACAAACTTCAAACCTTCATTAACAACTGTCTCCGCTCAATACTCAAGATCAGATGGCCAGAAAAGATCAGCAACAGGGATCTCTGGGAGCGAACCAATCAGGAACCGATTGTGAAACAAATAGGCAGAAAGAAATGGAGATGGATTGGCCATACGCTGAGGAAACCATCAAGTGACATCACTAGACAAGCCCTCGAGT